GAATCTATAGTATTATAGTCGTCGTCGTCGTCCTCCTCCTCCTCCTCCTCCTATTATTATTATTATTATTATTATTATTATTATTATTATTATTATTATTATTCTGTGTGCAGGGTGACTATGAGGCTGCTTTGACCATTTATGATACCCACGTAAGTACAAGATTTTTCTTGCTGGCAAACCTTAATCTTGTATTCTTATCTATTACACCTGAAACAGGGGATTCAGTTGCTGGCAAAATAATTACATTTCTGTGTATTAAATAAAGCTGGATTTGATGACCTGTATGCTCTATAGAAATTGAGCACGCCAACTTGATTTATACAATACACGCTACTTCTTGTACGTTCACTACTTTATGGAACAGTGTTTTTGTTTTGCTTTATTTTTTGGTGACATATTTTGGTTTTGCTGTTTGTGGGAAGGGCATAAAACTGAAGTTGGCAGTGTTTTAGGGGACTCCTGAGGCTCCTTTGCCCCCCAGATGTGGCGCTACAGTTCCCAGAAGCCTTCAGCAATGATTGTGGAAATTGTGGTTTAGCAACATCTTGCTTGAGCGTTAGGGGCCAGAGAGGATCATAATGCCCAACTTGAGGGTTTCAGAGGCATTTCAAGTGCAAAACAGAGTTGCTCTGAGCTTGAAATGGAGAATTTTGCCCTCACTGCAGAGATGATTCAATAAGTAAATATTTTGCTAAAATACTCCAAAATGATCAGAAATTAGCTGCTTCCACTCAAAACCAGCTGTTTGGAAATCCAGTGGGGAAGTTTTCAAATGAGTCAGAGTTAAAATACTTTGCACATCCTGGGGATTTGTTGACTTGGAAGACAGCAATTTTTCCTTTGACAAAGTGAGAACGCTGGTCAGTTTCCTGCCTTTACCTTTTGAAAGTAGCCATGCTTCAAGGCTTCAGATGGAAACTTGTCCCAGCTGTTCATGAAGATGCTGAAGGTGAACCCCAGACCAGGTTTCTCAACCTTGGGAACTTTAAGATGTGTGGACTTCAACTCCCAGAATTCCCCAGCCA